GTAGCGGACAGTACTTTGTAGCGATCCCGGCGAAGAAAAGATTGTTCAGGAACACAGCGCTCCTGCCTTCGCGAGCTCTTGATTTTTCTCATTTCCCACTCCGAGAAAATCTTGTCCCTATACCTATAGTCCCATAAAATTACCCCATTTTTGTCCCTATTTCATAGTAAAGTTTTCTTTCTGAAATATCTTCAATTTAATACCTCAGTGTCATGACATGTAATTTTTTTTTGTTTTGCCTAATCAATTTCTCTTTTGTTTTGATAATATACATCTCCCTACCGTTATCGATATGGACATTTTATCGTTTGTCATGCATTGGCATAATATTTTACCGTTGTCTTATCGATTTATCTCTGATGTATATAATGTCAAAAGTTATCTTCATATTGATTAGAACCTTTAAATTTTTCGCTTTGTCTGATCAATAATTTACCTTTTGCTTGGATATTATACATCACCCTACCGTTGTCGATATGGACATTTTATCGTGTGTCATGCATTGGATTGCATAGGCATAATAATTTACCGTTGTCATATCGATTTATCTTTTCTATTGATGTATATGTCAAAAGTTATCTTCATATTGATTGGGACATTTGAAAATTTTCTCTTTTGTATAACCAAGTTGTCTTTTGTTTTGATAATAAGTATCTATACATCATGATTTACCTTACCGTTGTCGATTTGGACATTTTTCGTGTGTCATGCCTAGGATTGCCATGACATATATCTTACCGTTATCTTATCGATTTTATTACCTTATTCATGATGTATATATTGTCAAAAAGTTATCTTTGTATCTTGGTTGATATGGACATTTTCTCTTATACCATGTCACTGTCATCGTTTCATCCCTTAGCTTAACTATGTTTCCTTACCTTTACCTTTATTATTTTCTGTTTTTTTACCTTACCTTGGCTCTAATTCGGATTTGTCTCTGAATTAATATTATCTGTAAAAAATAGTTTTAACCGTTCCGCTGATTTTACCGGATGGTAATTGTAATTATTTTTTGTATCGTACCTTGTTGTGTTACAAAGGTACATAGTTTCTTACCGATTTGATTTGCTTTTTGCAAATAATTATTACCGTTTCTTCTTGTTGCAATGAAGTGTCAGACTTCTGGCTCATTGTAATTTTTCATCTACCTTTCTATCCTTTTATCTTTATTTTTCTTTTCTCCTATTTTTTTATATTAATTTTTCTTTGGTTTAAAATTTTTGGTTGGATTCATGTCGAGTTCTTGAGTAGACCCTACCTTACTTCTGACTTACCAATTCAAGCTTTTTCCCAATTATGACCTACTAATTATGACTTCTTTCTTAAAGCCTGATGATACACCTTAGATATCAGGCTAAAGAAATTCTTGATAAAAATTCACCATATAATTCTACAATTTATCTTTCCCTTTTATAATTTCCTTCTCTTGTTCTCGTTGTCGGTATCTGTATTCCTTGTAAAAAAAATATATACTTATATTTTTTTTTCTTTTTTCGAAAGGGGGCGTAACATTTGAAATGTCACAAGAACATATTTAATTATTCTCAATTAATTTTTTATATTTCCTTTAAAATCTTAGAGCAAGCGCGTTCCTACTCCTTATGCCTTTACCTGCTCTAAATTTAAAATACTATTTCGTACACCTGGCGACATCTATGATTCCTCTGACTAGTTTCCAAAACCTAATACCGAAAATTATTTTATTGAAAGGTGGTTTCGGTTTGCTCACTCCGTACACTTCGAGTGACTTCATTCGCACTCCAGCTGTTCGGGTGCTGCTTTTTGCCGTATTGCGGGTGACTCCATTGGTTTTGTTCACTCATCTCCAACTCTGAACCTACCTAGGATTATTTTTTTGAAAACCGGCAGTGCTGTCATTTTTATAATTTCGACAGGCTTGACAGAGGAAGAAAGACAGAACCATCTGGGTACTTTCGACTTATTCTTTATTATTTTGTCGTAGGACCGAAAAGGTCGTCCATTTTCTTAATTTAAAAAAGAAAATCCAAAAATTTTGGTTTTCATTCTTGGCCATCGAGCCCAAAATTATATAACTTGCTTGTATAATTACTTACCTATGGGTCCCGTTTATGTGCCTTATTTTATAGTTTCTTGATGTTATCTCTTTTCAACCACTCCCTATCGATTACCTTTATTATAGTGAAATTATTTAAACAGTGTATGCACGTGATCAATGACGTCGAAATTATTGCCAATTGCAGTTTGTAAGAAATTAAAATTCGTTTCAAGCTGAGAGCTCATTCTCCTTTTTATTTAACCTTAGTTAAAAAAAGACAGAACACTGTTGGCATTTAACCGAATCGGCCGATAAAATGACATCTAGATTGGCACTCATGGGTTATGTTGCCAAATATTGCTGCAAATCTGCGGTTACTGATTTTAATAATTTGAAATTATTTCTATTTGTGTATCTATCTATAAAATGCCAAAGCCATTGAATAGTCAGAGTCAGAAACTCGTTGTGTCTCTAATTAGTTTCTTCTGATTTATTTATTACTCGCCCTTTAGAAAACTCGCCTCCGGTTCGTTTTCTAATATAGGGCTCGTGCGATAAAATGACGTCTTATGAAAGTTGTATTTCAATGTACTATTGTGCAACCATGAAAATTATGTGAGATTACAGAAAAAAGTACTCCTTTTAACAAACATGTGGAACTAATTACCAGCACAGAACACATATCCTCACGGATAGAAAAAAAGCTTAATGGAGGGCGGGGCCTAAAAAAAAGCTTCGGATCGCATCCGCTTGGGGACGCTAGAGTGGAACCATAGAATAAGTGAGACACAATTACAGGTGCGGAATGAAGGCCATCAGAAAATATACAGGTCACCATTTCACTTTTGCAGTTTACCCCGAGGTTTACCCAATGAGATTTAATTTACCTTGTTTACCTGTTACCTGTGTCAAAAAAAATATGTCAAAATAATTCCGAATGAGAATTTGTCTGTGTTGGTGTGATTTTAATCCAGAAAAATGTTTATTGAATTCAAAGAAAAAAGATTACATAAAACCCGCGAGTGGCTAAATTCAATTGGTGTAGGCATCGTGGTGGAATGGTAGAAAAAGCAGTGTTAAGTTGAACAGGATTTGCCAAACTACAGGGCATTGGCATTAGTGAATCGTAATCACCGCATCCGTTGCGGTGCAACATTTTGGTGAATTTAGCCACAGGCGGACACAAACACAAGAAGTTTTGTCCGTTTTTGCTCAGAAGTAAAAGCCGTCGAATCGAATTCGGCTATAATGAGGAAAAATCATTTGGAAAAATTAATATTGAAAAAATTGACATTGGATGAACTATTTTGACAGTTTATTTGATTACAGAAACCTATATTATAAATAGTTCGGATCGCATCCACAGCGCCGTGACGGCGCATTGTTCCCCAAAATTTTATTAGGCACTTTGCCTCCTATCCGTGAGGATATGTATTCTGTGATTACCAGTTTGATGTATAACCTGGTGGCTATGGTAACACAGCGTTTCTATGGATAGTGAAGATGTCCGAAAGCGATACAGATATTTTTCTTTCTTGCACTCCTCCAGAGCTAAAAAGTATGGTTCAATCAGTTGTTTCTGAGTTAATACCTGGAAAACTAAGCGGCAATATAATAATATATTGTGTATTTAGGTGGAAAAGTGACACATTCTCGGCCGACGGTGTAAGTTGACGGGCGAGGCGTAGCCGAGGCCGGCAATCACCGAAGGCCGAGAATCTGCTTTTCCACCGAAATACACATACTATTTTTTCTGCGATCGGTTAAATATCTGTTAAATGTCTTTTTGTTCCAATTATTCAGCAATACGAGAATCACTGTCCCGGCCTAGGCCGGAAAAGTGATTCCCGTATTGTTATCCAGTGATTCCTTAGCAACTATCGAAACATAATTGAAATACCAGAATATTGAGTTTTGCGACCTGTCAACCGGTCAAAAATGCTGACATTTCTTGTCAATCGCAGAAAAAAATTGTTATTGCGAGTGCAAAAATTGGTGTGACAAACAAAACGTCAAAATGGTGTCTGAAAACATATTTGCTTATTTAGGGCTAAATTATGGACTGACTGGTGAACGTCTGGTTGTTGCCTAGCAGGTACTTTCTATGCTCTAGATAATAGAAAGTACCTGCTAGGTAATAACCAGACACTCACCACTTGGTCCATAATTTGGCCCCTAATGCAGAAATGGAAAGTTTTAAGAGTTCAATTCAAAAGCACTGGATTCTTAGTTGCTTCAGCTTCAGGAGTAAATATTAGTAATAATGCAAAGTGTCGCATAAGTGTTAATATTTATCCCAAATAATTTATGTTGTTCTGAAGAATTTGGAAATAAAATTTACTCATTGTTGTTGTCAAATTTTGATTTATACTTCGCGGTCGTCACAACGGCCGCGAAATTGAATTTCGCGGACTGTGTAGCGGCCGCGAAAGCTTATTTCGTGGACGGTTGCACAAAAAGGATATTTTCATTCAATATGCGCTCTGTTCACCACGGAATGTTATTTCAAGGTGAACATTATAATTATTATGTAGGTACTTGAATTAAATTTCACTTGAAATAGATACATTCTGTGATCTATTAATAGACTAGTCCACAACGTAATCTCTTCTTGTCATCTCATCTGTGTTACAACGGTACTGTTTTTAAGTTAGGCTTACTTATTAACCTTTGCGACACATATTATGTCCTCAGGTACACAGCAAGATTACATTGATACATTCAGTTTATCCTCTAATTGAATCATCTAACAATCAAAACTAAAACTAAATATAGATAGTTTCAAACAAACGCACAAATGGAAAATATATTCTGCTGAAAACATTTTGGAATGAGTTATTGTAAGACACACATTTGTGAAGTTATTATTGAAATACTCGTTTAGGGCTTGTAACGTAAAATACTAATTTCATGTTCCATATTCATCTTCTGCTGTTTGCGTCGAATTATTACAAAAATAATGCAATTCTCTCTTTCCCAGGTGAAACAAATGGTAGACGAAATGCTCGAAAAACTCCCCGAAGATTTCAATATGCTTGAAATAATGGGGAAAGTCGAAGAACGTACGCCCTACGTGATAGTAGCCTTCCAAGAGTGTGAACGTATGAATCTTCTGACAGGAAAAATGAAACAAACCCTTAAAGAATTAGAATTAGGCCTTAAAGGAGAACTCACTATAACGTCGGACATGGAAGACTTGGAAAATGCGGTGTTTTTAGATCAAGTCCCACCAATATGGGCTCAGAGAGCTTATCCGTCACTTTTAGGGCTTACATCTTGGTTTGTCGATTTACTTTTAAGAATCAGAGAGTTGGAAACTTGGTCTACGGATTTTGTAGTAAGATTTCAGTTATTCATAACATCCGATATTTCTAAATAGAATTTTTTTTCTAGTTGCCTGCATCTGTATGGTTAGGAGGTTTTTTTAATCCTCAATCACTACTTACGGCCATTATGCAAAGTACCGCTCGTCGTAATGAACTACCACTAGACAAAATGTGTTTGCAATGCGACGTTACCAAGAAACAGAAAGAAGAATTTACTAGTGCTCCCAGAGACGGAGCTTACGTTCACGGACTGCATATGGAAGGGGCCCGTTGGGACGTGCAAGCGGGCATTATAATGGACTCGAAACTCAAGGAACTATATCCGCCGATGCCGGTGATTAACATTAAGGCCATCACACAGGACAAGCAAGATTTGCGGAATATGTACGAGTGTCCGGTTTATAAAACCAAAACTAGGGGGCCCACTTTTGTTTGGACGTTTAATTTGAAAACGAAAGATAAGCCGGCTAAATGGACTTTGGCTGGCGTAGCTTTGCTTTTACAAACGTAAATTTTTGAAACTTTATGTAGGTTGTTATATTTAGTTTAGTAAATTGAATAATTGAATTGAATTAGCTAATGAAATAAAAATAAAAGCCTGTTCGATTTTGCATATAATTACTCACAATACAATACCACACACACAATCCTTCTACAATTATCGTTTCATTGTTGAATGAAAGGTCTGAGTCCTGAAAAATGACACAAAAGAAACAATGCGAATATCTAAATTTGCGAAGTGCGAGGAAGAAAGACTTCGGGTGGATCGACTCGAAATATGCGCCGACAATACTGGAGAGTCCATGATAGAGTTGATCACTGCAGAACGAGAAAGGTCACGATGCGTTCCTATCACATTTAAGTAGTGTTAATTGTCCAGACTTTTGCAAAAGTCATTGTGGTGAAATTCGCCATTATAGCCAAGTAAACTGAGGATTTACTACGCAAACTCGATGGTAGTCGAGTTTCTTTTATAGATTTTGGGGTGCTGATTACGAATCCGGCATATTCACATAATAAATTCACCGGAATCACCCCGTTTCAATCTCCTGAATGGGGTAACTTTTGCTTTTTTGCAAACGTAACCCTCCCTGCGCGTTTCACACAGAAAAACATGCTTCCGCAAAACAATTTTTTTTTTCCTTCAATAATCAATACAAATGCGAATCTACCTGAAAACATCACAGACGTATTACTGATTTTTTGCTATATTTTCCATAAATAGACAATTGCGCAATTTTCTAACAAGGTTTTGAACGGTTAATGATAACGTACGTATTCAAATTTTCACGGACTGCATATGGAAGGGGCGCGTTGGGACGCGCAAGCGGGCATTATAATGGACTCGAAGCTCAAGGAATTATATCCGGCGATGCGCGATGCCGGTGGTTGACATTAAGAGACAAGAGCTTGGTGGTAGCGCCAAAACAATTCTAAAAGGTTTAAGGGTTAAGGCAAGGAGTGCTGCGTTGCCAAATTGACGTCAAAGTATATTATTTTGTTTGGGTTAGATTTTTCTAACAGGTGCGGACAAATGTTTATTGTTTAACGAGTGACGAAAACAGCAGTTTTTGAAATACGTAGGTAATGTTTTCAAGTTACAGAAAATGATTTTTGACGAAAATTGTTTATTTTTCAATCGTCAGAAAGAAACTTTTTGCAGATGCTGACGTTGGCACAAGAGCTTGGTGGGAGCCCCAAAACAATAGGGTAGTGGACAAGGTATAATTTCAATGAAATCGATGATCTATTCTTCATCTATGGAGTCAATAAAAAATATTCTTATCAAAAGAAATTTCAGATAAAATTACTAACCTTGTTTAAAACGGCGGTAAAAGTAGAGTTTTGGGACGCACTATTTGAACGAAAATATTTCGCGCCCTGATTCTACGTCATAGCTGTTGTATTTAAGTATGAATTAAATAAAACCTACGTCCGATATTCGACACAAACTTACTCTTTAGTGCAAAAAAGAGAGATATATCAGCGTCTCTCGGGTATTATTACATTTAGGCGCACCCTCAACATAACCCTACTTTTTGAGAGAATTCTATTTATCAATCAGTGCGTACCAATGAACTATAACCAAAAACTGGAATGCGTACACATATTGACGAACGTGAAGCCTAGTGCCGCTGCTGCGGAGGGGATACCTGTTTCTGTCGCACTCATTATGTTAAATGGCGGAAATTGCTTCCAACACGTATTCCAATTGATGAAACCTGTGAAGGAAAATATGACAAATCTTTCGAAAACGTCATATGTCAGCGAGCAACAGAAAAAAACAACATTCCCCCTTATGGCATCTGTCTTTCATGGCTACATTTTTTTGGCAGATATGGCAATGTGTGCGCATTCCAGTTTTTGGCTATAGTTCATTGGTGCGTACTGAGTTTATCGGCATCTTTTTCTGAAAGCATGTAAAATATAAGGACGCGCTATTGGACATACATAACAGCTATGACGTAATTTCCTGGCGGTAAATTATAGGGTTTAAAATAAGTAAAAATTTGTTAATTTTTTTTAACGTAAATTTTTGTTTTCTAAAATCAAAGAATCATCAACAATTGTTTATTTTGTGATGAAGATTAATAAAAAAAATATTTCAAAAAATTGTGCACTACCCTATTCTGAAAGGTTAAGGCAAGGAGTGCTGCGTTGCCAAATTGACGTCAAATTATATGATTTTATTTGGGTTAGATTTTCCTAACAGGCGCGGACAATGTTTATTGTTTAACGAGTGACGAAAACAGCAGTTTTTAAAATATGTAGGTAATGTTTTCAAGTTACAAAAAATGTTTTTTGACGAAAATTGTTTATTTTTCAATGGTCAGAAAAAAACTTTTTGCAGATGCTAGTTTAAAATAAAAATGCAAACTCACATATGTTGTCAATTCACTATTAGATGCTAGTTTGTTTCTGCAATCAAATATTTGGATTTTGTTGGAATTTTCGACACTTTTAAACAAAAATCGTGAACAGGATTGCTCATCCTAATAAGGCGTACGTTCATCAATTCTTGAGCAGGCAGGGTCTGCGAATGACGTCCCCACAGGTGCTACTAGTGATGACGTCACCCGCAGACCTCGATGGAAGGCTTGCGATTCAGGCTGTGCTCGTTATTGGATTTTTTCGTCGATTTTAAATGTAGAAAATGTGATTTTAACAAGATTTTAACGTTTAGGAATTCATTTTGTTGTGTGCTTTAAACTCGAATAATGCATTTTACTCCAAGAATTGAAGTATGCAGCTGACATAGCAGTTGGCAAACACTTTCAGCTCAATAAGCAGTCCTACTAGGGATTGAAAACAGGATAATCTCCGCCATTTTCTGGACACCTGAAACTAAGATGATCCGTTATTTTCCAACGAATGTGCGGAAAAAAAACTGTTGGCATGCACAAAGAGTAATCTTTCCGCACACTAGGGATGCGCCGAAGCATCGATTCGGCCTCGGTATTCGGCCGCTTCGGCCTATTTGATAACTATTCGGTTTTGGCCGAAGCGGTAGTGGGATTCGGCCGAAGCGACGCGACAAAAATTTCTTGTCAAAACTTGTTGAGTTGCGCAGTGAGTGTTTTGGTTATAGTTTTTATTTTATGTTTTAAACTTAATCGTGCAACGTCTTGAGCAATTTAGAGTATTTAAACGTGAAAATGAATGAAAAGTTGAGTGATATTTGGAAGTATTATTTATTAGGTGAAGATAATAATAGATATGCAAAGTGCAATACATGTAAAGGTGAGATTTCTCGAGGTGGTCTTGGTAAAAATGCCTCCACAACATCTATGATCAATCATTTAAAAAGAAAACACGTCGAAGAATATAGAGAATTCCAAGGGGAAAATTCAAGCAAAAGGTCATTTTTCTGTGTTTTGATTTTGGGGTGCAATATTCCGCAGAGTATTTCTTTAGTTTTTTTATTTGTTTTTCATATAAAATTCAAATACATGTTGATTAAGCAGGTATAGTTCATACCAAATAAACTTATAGTCGGGTTGTCAAGCTCGGACAAGCGTCTGCGGATCACACGGGGGCAACGCCACGAATACAGCGTCCATAACGTTTTTGCTCCTTGTTTATTGATGCCTCCACCTCCTTGTCCTGAATCCTGATGAATATTTATTGTTATATTCTGGGATTATTTTGCAATTTCCATTTCGTAAAATATCGATTATTATCGATAATATTTAACTAAAAATTTTAGAAAGACTGATAAGAATTAATTTTTTTGGGATGGGGTATCAAGCCCAAGCCAGAACCCGGGTACAAAAAAATAATTGATAAGTCAGGTGGAATAATCCAATGATACATGGCCCTTCGCCCTCCACAGTTGATTTGTAGGCTGTATCACAATTAAGCTGTTTCTGTAAGATTTTGAAAGACACAGTGTTTAATCTAGATTGTTAAATAATAGCTATTTATATAAATAGCATTAAATAACAAGTAGGTACCTACAATAAAGAAAGGCTTATTGTACGAATAATTTTATGACCGAGCGAGCCTGCGAGCGAGGCTATTAAATAATAAGTCAACACTCAATAAAGCCTGTTTATGTAAGCGTAATAGGTACCTACATAAGGTAAATTTAATGCGTTTATGTAAATTTCCATCTTGGTGATAAATAAAATAAATAATTATTGTACCATTTTTCCTTTCAACAGTTTAAACAGTTCATTTTATAAACTGTGCTCTGATGGTATCTTTTGCTCTAATTTTCTTTTCCACTCAAAAAAGTCTTCCTTATTATTAAATGTTAATTTCTTGGGGTCTAAGTTGTTTCCGTGAAAATTTTTATAATATGTAAAACAATAATGTCTTTGCTGTCCGTAATAAAATCACAGTTTAATGGGCATCTTATGGACTTCATTATTTTTGTAGATGTATTTTTGTTGTGAATTGTGCTCTCCATGTGTTTTTTTAGGTGATAATTGCTCGAAAACTCCCTCTCATGTCATTGATAATGATAATAAGACAAACTATCGAATTATAATTAATAATTTTGTGTCAAATAAATGAAGAGGCGGTAAACAAAAATGCTAGTGAACCTCCGTTTGTCGCGTCGCGCCAAATTTTAAAAGTTTCGTTCGTACACTTTCGATCATATTCGTGGCGTTGCCTCCGTGTGATCCGCAGACGCTTGTTGTCAAGCTCGGCCGTCACAGCGTTGCCGTCTCTTGCATATTTTCCTTTTGTCAAAATATTTTCAGAAACAATAATGGATTATATTATAATATAATGCAAAAATTATTACTTAAATTATAAACAATGTTTCAAAGCTGGGTTTAATAGATATTTTATATCCTACTGAACTATTAAAACCATATAATACCTTGGTTACGATAATCATAAACAGGGTCTTAACTCCCAAGGGAGTTAAGGATTTTCATAACTCCCAAGGGAGTTAAGGATTTTCATAACTCCCAAGGGAGTTAAGGAAGGGAGTTAAGGATTTCCATAACTCCCGCTTTTACCTTGAATAGGTAACACTTTGACAAAAAATAGAAAATTTGATTTATGGCTTATTCCTTTATAAAAATAGACAGAATACAGTAAATTCAGTAGGATATAAAATTATCTATGTATCAAGGGAATTATGCAGGTGTTAATACCCCAGGGCAACGTTTGTGTCCCGAGGGCCTCCGGCCCGAGGGACACCAATTGCCCGTGGGTATAACTATAATAAAAACCCATTTGTCAATCATCACATAAAATATAATAATAACGCTCAGTACCTATTTTATTTACAGCCACTCTGAATACTATAAATAATTAAATTTTATATGAATATTTGAACCATCAAGAATATTTTCAATTATTCTGGATCACTGAAATCGCTAGAATCGCTAGAGTCTTCATCAACATTGATAATAAGTGGAAGAACCTCTTGCCTATCCATTACTTGTTCCCTGTTATACCACTTGTCAATTATTCCTTCTGTATGTCTGATAGAATTTTTCCACATTTCAGGGGTAACAGTTCCCAGTGCCTCTCGCCACATTTTTAAACAAGCATCTTGAGTATAACCATCTCTGCCAATATGTTGGTTATAATAGTTTTTTGCAATTCCCCAGATAAGTTCAATCGGGTTAAAGGTACAGTGGTATGGAGGTAGTCGTAAAACTTTATGTCAATACTGTTCTGCTAAGTCATCTACCGTATACTTTTTTGTTGGTTTATTCCTGAAAAAACCAATACTTGAGAAGTTGAGCATAAAATGCAAACAATTTTGGTATTGTAGGTACTTACTTACCGTGCAACAATGGTCACAAGTTCAGATTTCAGTGCTGTATTGGATAATCAACTTTCTGTTCGATTAACCAATTTTGAATTTCAGCCTTGGTAGACGAACTATTAGGTGTCTTCGTTAATAACATTCTGTGGTATGACAGATGGTTCACGGTTCACTCCTCAAGTTCTTCAACAGCTGATTTTTGAACCAACGTAAAAAGTTTTGCTGATTCATTTCTCCATGATAGTTGTTAAGTTGAGTTTTCGATGAAAATACGAACGATGCACCTTCAATGAATCCATTTTCAGTGCTAGCATAAAGTATGATATATTTAAAAAAAGCATTTCTTTGTACATATAATACAACTGCTCTCTGTATTCATGTTTATATTCACCTTTCACCATCAACTTTGGTAGTTTTAACTCTTCGCTTGTTGTTGTCTTGCCACGAGCGGTTAAAAGTACCATTTTGAAAAATCCAAGTCTTGTCCAAGAAAACAAACTGGTACAAAGCCTCCTGTTTCAGTCTTAGATAAGACCTCAAAAATGATATGCGTTTAACAACAATATCAGGAAGTTCCATGAGCCCTCGTCTTGGGTCATATTTTTTCCATTTGAAGCCTATTTCTTTTAACATTCTACTCAATTACATGGGACTGCCATCAAATAATTGTTTGGCTTTCAATTGCTCCCATATACAGGATAATGTAATATGTTGTCCTACAAGAAGAAAGAATGCGATTCATAGATATCTATGCACCTTTGTCTCAAGCGATTTACTTTTTGTATACATAACGTAACTAGTGTTACGTATAAGCACTACTATCGAGCATTGAAACATCACAGACTCTCTTCGAAGTACATCGTTTCTCAGAAGGCGATTCCAAAACTTCGTTATTTTTGACTGCCTTTGAAATAGCACAGACAGTGGACATACCTACTTAAGTTCAACGCCTTCGCTATGCGCTAAAAATGAGAGAAAATAAAGTTCAAATTGAAAATTCCTAGTTGGTCCTTGGTCCACGAAATAAACTCACCTTCCTAACAGCATTTAAGGGACCTAAAAGGGCCAAAATTATCGCATCGCGTTCTCGTTCGAAATATTGTAACAAGGATGCGATTAGTTCTTTACAACGACTGTTAAGCTGCTTCGGCATCTTGTACACTTCGCACTACAAGCTGCTTTTAAAAAACAAACTCACAAATAATAGCACAAACCAAAATCTCGTAAACTCCCAAAACGCAATCAAAATTCAAAATGTTAAGAATTTAATTTGGCAACGTTACATTTTTTGAAGTGGTGTTACCAACTGAATGGCCAGCGGGAAATTCAAATTCCAATTAAGTCAATCCGACGTCAAATATTTTCACGGTTGGCGATAACGATTTTAAAAATGGCGTCATCGATGTCACAACAACAAGTTTATTTGGATGAACTATATTTCAAGCAATATTGGTATTTTTTTTTTTTTTTTGTTTATAAACACATACCTTAATATTTGTGATTCGGTCGAAGCTTCGGCCGAATCACTGCAAAATTGAAACCGATTCGGTATTCGGCCGAATCGGAAAAAAGGCGCTTCGGCGCATCCCTACCGCACACCCTTGAGAAAAATTGTGTTCCTTAAGCCCAGTACTCATAACCGCGAAATTCGCTTTTTTTCGACATTGCTTTGACAATTTGACGTTTGATTCACGCATAGAACGTCAAATTGTTGAAGGAATATCAAAAAAGAGCGAATTTCGCTGTTATGAGTACTAGGCTTAACACTTGCGAGAAATGGTATTTCCCGCACTTGTTAGAAAAATAACAATTTTTTTCCGAATTTGATATGAAAAAAATTTCCGAATAATAAACTGTAGTGGCGTGGTGTGGCGCTGATTCCAGTCCAAACATGAAAATGCCAAAAATTGCAACGTCGCATATAAATTGTTTCAGGGCTACCACCAAGCTCTTGTCTTTAAGAGGCCAGCAACAAATTCAAGCGCGCCAAATTCATTCTTTCTCGCCGAGTTCGATCAAAGTAGGACCGCGATAGACGTCAAATATTTTCGAGATAGCGGACGGGTGTGATGAAATCAAATTGCATGGAATGTGAATAATAAATACTATGATAGTCAACCATCCAAGGACCTTTTTTTTCAGTTATACATGTAAACCCCATACTTTGTGAGTGGCTTGCTTACATCAAGTCCTACAACTTTTCCTCTACGACTTTTCTCGGAAATGGCACGTATGCGCGCAGGCGACTCGCAAACATGTCGATCTGACGTAGCTATGTTTCCTGATACATGTAGGTAAATCTAATTTTACGAATACTGTTTGATTTTTATGTCTAAATCACGGAAATCAACTTGGCCGACAAAAATAATGGCAAATTGGGGGAGTCCGATACCCCCAAAATGTCGATCTGACGTGGTTATGTTTCTTGATACATGAAAATCTAATTTCACGAATAATGTTTGATTTTTATTTCTAAATCACGGAAATCAACTTGGCCGACAAAAATAATGGCAAATTGGGGGAGTCCGATACCCCTAAAATGTTTGCGAGTCGCCTGCGCGCATACGTGCCATATCCGAGAAAAGTCGTAGAGGAAAAGTTGTAGGACTTGATGTAAGCAAGCCACTCACAAAGTATGGGGTTTACATGTATAAATGAAAAAAAAGGTCCTTGGATGGTTGACTATGAGCTTTTGTGGAGTCAAAACTAATCTAATATGTAAAATTCTCATGTCACAGTTTTAATGACATTCGTCCTCCGAAACGGTCGGTGAAGCCGTTTTTATGAAATTTTATAATGTTTATTCGGTAGGTCTGAGTTTTGAGCTATTTTTTATACCCCTAAGTTGGGCGTTGAGAGTTGTCAAATTGTCAACACATATTATTTTGAGCTCTCGTTTTTTTCCAATAAAAAAGTCGTTTTCATAGCAAATATCAATACAAAATCAAGTCAAATAAGAAGACATAAATTATCAATTGCCTATTGCTGCCTTTAAAGTGGTTTTAGTGCTCAAATTTGGATTTTCGGCTGAAATTTAATATTTAATGACAATTGCCAAAATTTAAATTTGGAATATGTCAGAATCAGATAAAGAAGTTGAACATGGAATAAATAATAATGATAACGAAATGAAAATTATAAATGATAGATAGTATTCCATGTTGTTGAAAAAGCAATGAAAAATGTTATTGGAAATCAACAAAATGTTATGCCAACTTATGCCCAAGTTACCACTAATCCATCAAAAACTGGTAATAATTTGGGACAAAATATTGTTGAACAAAATAAATATAAAGTTGTCATCTATCCGAAAAATGGTACTAGTGAAAATTCAGAAGATACAAAAAAAGTTCTTTTAAAATTAAATCCGAAAATTCTTGGTGTTAAACCAGAGAGAATAATTAAAGTAGAGGTGGGTTGCGATTTCACGAACTGTGACTTTGTCACTGCTACTTGTCTGTCACAGTCACAGCCTGCTCCAGTCCCAGTCAAGTAGCAGTGACATTTTGTCACTGCCCGCTTCAAGCTCCGACCGATGCAGCGCGGTCAAAACTCGAGCTGTGATGCAAATTTAATAATATAATATTATAAATCGCATCGCGGTCAAGCCAAATAGAAACTGCTACTGCAGAGGGCAGGCTGAAAACTAGAACATCTCTCTCGGCCGTGACTGCGGACTGTGATTATGCCATGTTGCGATGTAGCATTAACATAATAGAGAGATTTTGAGCCACATAAATTTTGGAATACGTTACACGCTAAACGATAAACTGAGCAAGCGCAGTCTTTGAAAAATAGCGGATGACATTTGCCTTTTTTTTAGTTTTTGAAGCCAAAACTTGTGAAGGACGTTATAAGCTAAACGTTAATGAAAATTTGTGGTTAGGGATTTGAATTTGTGTAACTAGCGTCAAATTTTATGTTGTCTGTTGTTTATGTTAGGACGGTTGGGAATTTATTTGTGTTTTGTTTTGTGTAATTATGTACTGCACTTCATGAATAACATTGAAAATATAATAAGACGTCGAAATGCTGAAACGTTATCGGTTAATAACGTTCCGTTTATTTCCACATAATTAGCGTAGTACGTTACCGCTTATTAAGCGGGCCCGTTATGAGCAAAATAACCGATAACGTATAACGTTGATCAAATAGGTGGCTCAAAATCTCTCTAATATTAGCAGTACGGCCGCCAAATAAGGTAAAACTGCTCCAAAAAATCACTGCTATTTGTCACAGTGACTCGACTGGAGCAGTCACGTCTTGTCACAGCTCCATTAAAATCGCAGGTTGGCCCAACTCTAAATTAAAGTAAAGGACAAAGGAGTATTAATAGAATCATCTGATCCAAATATAACAAAATTAAAAGAATCAAAATATTTTAATGATGCAAATTTGGAAGCATATTTACCAGAAAAAAAGTGGCCACTAATTATTATATTTGGAGTTTCAAATGACTATACTCAAACTGAATTTATTTCCGAAATTAATGAAAATTTTAAATTGGAAGGAAAATGGCATAGGGAAATTTTTAAAGTTGGTCCAAGAAACAATAATTACACTAATTGGGTTATAGAATTAAAACCGAAAATCAGAAATAAAATTAAAAATCAAGGAAGAATTTATTTTGAATGGAAGTCTTGTCATGTAGATGACTATACAAGGGAACAAGATGTTTTAAATGCCAAAGATTTGGACATGTGGCAAAGCATTGTACATCAATACAGCAATGTGGTTTTTGTGCAAGCTTTGATCATGAGTCAAAAAATTGCCAAAAAAAAGAAGATGCTGAAAAAATAAAATGTGCTAATTGTATGAGAGCAGGTAAGAAAAATTTAGAACATGATGCAGGCTCAAAGAAGGAGGCACGATTTACATTGAAAATAGGCCCCCGTAAATTTCAACCAAATTTCAATATTTTAAAGGTATCATCATTGCAAAAAAAAATTTGAAATGTTAAGAGGATCGTATGTCTGTGATAACAGATATAGCTTGTCAAAGTACTTAGGTCCTGCTATGGTATGCATAGGAAATATCCGAGGAAATATTCCTACGTAAATTTTCTTGAATATCTTGAAAAATAGTAATCCGATTTTGACGTTTTTGGGATTTGATACCTACAAAAGGACCCCAAAACCGTCAAAATTGGATTAGTATTTTTCGAAAGATTCAAGAAAATCTACATAGGGATATTTCCTCGGATATTTCCTATGCATAGCACAGCAGGACCTACGTACTTTGACATGCTATATCTGCTATCACAGATATACGATCCTCTTTACATTTCAATTTTTTTTTTTTGCTATGATGATACCTTTAAAATATTGAAATTTGGTTAAAATTTACGGGGGCCTATTTTCAATGTAAATCCTGCCTCCTTCTTTATGTCCATTATATGCAATAAAATTACAGGACTATTTAAATAATATAGATTTTGGAATTTCTAATGGGTAAATTAAAAATAATTCAAGTTAATTTACACAATTCAAGAATAGCAACAATTGAGGCATTAAATTATATGGAAAATAAAAAAGTTGATATAGCTATGTTTCAAGAGCCATATTGTTATAGGAGTGGTAATAAATATATAGTTCCTTCAATAGGGCAAATGAAAATATGTGCTATATCAACTAATAGATTTTTTGCTTGCATAATTATTAATAATTTGTTATTGGAAATTCTATTTAACTATCATCTTTCAAATTTATATAGAGTAAGTATATTTTTAAAATTAAATAATAGAATAATAAATATAATCTCAGTATATAGACCACCGCCAGCAAATTTAGATAATTTTAATAATGCATTACATGAAATAATTATTAGGCCTGATTTACATCAACATTTTATTTATGAAATATTACTGGCAGGGGACTTTAACTGTAGATCAACTGTGTGGTATTATTCTAAAAATGATTTAGATGCAGGAGTGCTTGAAGAATTTATTTCAAATAACGATTTAGCCATATGTAATGAACCTAATCAACCACCAACTTTTGAAAATTTTATTGGTAATAGCAATATTGATTTGACACTTATATCACATTGCTTGATTGATCATATTTCTGATTGGATGGTGGTTAGAGATTTCTGATCATGATAGTATTCTTTTTAATATCGATAACAATTTACCAATTAATATCCAATATGATTACATTTTAGACCCTAACCAATTGGATATGACCGAAATTAAAAATAAAATCCAAAATATTTTAAATTATCTAGGAACATTACCACCTCCACATAATCCAGAAACAATTGATCTTATAATTAATAACTTTAACAACCTTTTTCAAAAATATATTACATCTAAAGCCCGTGTAAGAAAATATCCTGGACGACCTGAGTGGTGGACACACAAAATTGAAAGATTCAGGAAGGTTTATATGGCAAAAAAGAGATTATTATATAGAAATACAGTTTTTGGAGATAGGGATTATTTGTATCAACAAATGATTCTATCTAAAATTAAATTTAAAGAAGAACTTGATAAAACAAGAAATAATTCTTAGAAAAATTTTGTTGAACAAGATTTCCAAGTTCCTTGGGGAACAGTAGGTATATAAAATTGCAACTGAAAAATTAAACAAAAAAGGAACTTTATGTGCATTTAAAAAAGGAAATAGATATACAAATACTTTGGAAGAATCAATGAAATTTTTGTTTGATTCTTTATTACCTGATGTTAATGAACTTAATCTTAACCAGAGGCAACTTATTAGAAAGCGTGATTTTGAAATTTCACAACCCATTTTACCTCATAATAACTTTGCATTAGTTACTGAAAATGAATTGGACACTCTAGTGAAAAATTTGAAAAATAAAGCACCAGGACATGACCTAATTAAAGGTAATTTTATTAAAGAAATTTTTACAGTAATAATTAAAGAATTTCTTCTAAAAATATACTCCTGGACAAAATTATCGCACCACTGCTTATGGTGATGCTCATGTGCAGTGGTGCGATAATTTTGTCCAGGGGTATATATAATGCATGTCTTCAAAATTGTTATTTTCCTGAATTATGGAAGAAAGGAAATCTTCATGTGCTGTTTAAGGACCAAAATGGTTGTCAAAATAATCAAATAAATTATCGTCCAATTATTTTATCACCAGAATTTGGAAAAATTTATGAAAAAATTATAAAAAACCGTATATATAATTTATTTCCTAGGTTACATTCGATAAAACAATTTGGTTTTATACCTGGCTCTTCAACAGTGAATGCATTAAGAAAATATACTGAAATAATAGAGGAAAGTAGAAGTAAATATATTATGACAATTTTCATAGATATTTCGAGAGCGTTTAATCTCTGGTGGTCTGAATTATTTTCAAATATGCAACAACAAAATTTTCCACATAATATTATGTCTATTATTAAATCTTATTTGAAAAATAGAACAGTAAATTATAAATTAGGTACAGTCGAAATTAGTAAAAATATATCTATGGGAGGCCCTCAAGGTTCTGTATTGGGTCCAACATTATGGAACATTTTATTAGATGGGTTTTTGAATAGAGATTTTAATGAAAATATAAATATATTAGTATTTGCGAATGATATTGCAATTATTGTTCAACATGATTTACGTTGAGAAATGTTGAATATTGCAAATAATGTTGTATTAGAATTGATAGATTGGGCAGATTCATGTTTATTAACTATTTCTAATACCAAATCGAAAATTTGAATAAACAAATCACCATCAAGAGTTCATAATCGGGATGCCCGAATAAGAATTAATAATGAATTATTGGAAGTAGTTAATAATTATAAATATTTGGGATTAATCATTGAGAAAAATTTGAAATTTCAGGAACATCTCAAAATTACTTGTAAAAAGGCAATAAAAATCACTATGGCATCAAGACGAAAATTTCAGAATACTTGGCAAATAGATCTTCATGAATCTTTGACAATAATATATAAATGTGCAACTGTACCATTAGTGGCGTATGGTATTGAAATCTGGGGAAAAAAGTTAAGACTTTATAGAAATAAAAGTAAAATATTATCTTTATAT